AGAGAAGTGGGACATGGCAGAGGCTGTACTGCAGGTCTATGAGAGAAAAATAAGACCATCAGTCCAGCTGCCTAAGTGGCGGTGCCTGCCATTAGTGCCAGCCTTCGGGAGCCAGAGGCAATGAAGCTCTATGAGCTGGAGGCTAGCCTGACCCCATAAAGTGAATTCTAGTCCCACCAGAGCTATACATTCAGACCCTGTCTCAAAGCAAATCAAGACCAATTAGTATACTGGTTATCATCCAATAAGGTTGGAATATTGCTGCATAAATATTTTAGAGCTGCAATAATACGGTATTATAAGTCAGATTTCTTAAATGTTATTATAAATTTATTTTCTCACAGTTCTGGAAGCTAGAAGTGCAAGATCCAGGTGCTGGCAGGGTCCACTCCCTAAGACTGGTCCAGCCTCAGCTTACAGATAGCCACTGCTTCCGGAGTCCTCACGGCACCTTCCTCTGCTCACATCCACCAGTGGTGTGCCACTTTCCTCTTAAAGACCTGCCCTGATGACCTCATTTAACCTTAGTGACCTCCTTAGGCCCAGTCTCCAAGTCCAGTCACACTGGGACAGAAGATACAGTCCTGCTAATAACCCTTACTGTGTGCAAATTAAAGAAGAAATACATTCTGGATCAATCAAAGACTCAGTGTTAAACACAACACTTCAGTGATGTGGGATGTCCTTCTGTATATGTGTTTCTTTTATTGGCTAATGAATAAAACTGCTTTGGCCTTTAGCAGGAAAAATATAACCAGGCTGGAAAAGATATATACAGAGAGAGAGTAGATGGAGTCAGAGAGATGCCATGTAGCTGCCAAAGGAGAAGGACATGCCGGAACCTTACCATTAGGCCACAGCCTCATGGTGATACACAGAATAATAGAAATGGGTTAATTTCAGATATAAGAGTTAATTAACAAGAAGCCAGAGATAATAGACCAAAGAGTATGTAATTAATAGTAGGCCTCAGAGTGGTTATTGCATAAGCAGCGGCAGGAGCTAGTGAGCGGGACCAGGTGGGTGGAGAGAAACCAGTCCAGGGGGCCAGTGGAACGGAGAATATTTGTAGCTATACTTCAAGACATTGAACATGAGGTGACATGGGTCAGCGACCCCTGAGAGAGAAATTATCAAGGTAAGGCCCAGGGGGACCCCAGTTTAGTGCTTGGAAAGTTGCCAGATTGTAGTGCTTGAAGAGCGAATCACAGCCTGGTGGCGCCTGGGGTTGAGGAGACACAGATGAGTATGTAAAGAGATCAGGCAGCCAGAATCTGTAGCTCAAGTGCCAGGTGGATGTCACTCAGAGAGAGTTTGAGATATCCTTCAGGGAATTCCTGATCTGTGCGTGCTTATGCTGGTGAGCACAGAAAGGGCCGCCGGGGGTCTGTGAAGCGGTGACCTGAGCTTGATTTCCAGGACTCCCATGGTGGAAGGAGAGAAATGACTGCTGCGAGCTGTCCTCTGATCACCACACATGGACATGGTGCATCCACATACATGTTATGGAATAATCTTTTTGAACACTGAAGATTTGTCACTTGGATTAGTTTGGAGAGAAATAACTACGTCCATATTCCCAAATATTGTTTATAAATGTTCTTTTACATTTAAAGGGGGATATGATATAGATATAAATAATTTCATTGTTATGGATTTTAAGGTCAATTTTGTTATATGTATTTATATTTCTGATCTTGATTCCTTTCTGTTTACTCCGCCTACCTAATTTTTTGTCCTATCAAGGGGCCAAGGCAGTCTCTTTATTGACCAATGAAAATAACACAATAGACAGATAACCCTCCTCCATCATAAGAGCAACCCTGCCGAGTGTCTGGGAACTGAAACACTTATTCAGTGCTGGTGGTACTGTATACTAATGCCCATTACAGAAACCAGTGCTGAGCTGGGGAGATGGCTCAGTGGTTAAAAACACTTCCTGCTCTTCCAGAGGACCCATGTCCAGTTCCCAGCACCCATATCAGGTGACTCACAAACATGTAGCTCCAGCTCTGGGGCATCTCCAGCTCTGTGGACACCTGCACACATATGAACACAAATCATTATGAAGATTCCACAGAAATTTAAACTAGAACAACCGAATGTTGTTGTCCATTCCTGACAGGACAGCCAAAGGTCTCTGGACCCTACCACAGAGGTACTTGCTCAGCCAGTCACGTCTATTTCTGCTCCATTTACAGTATCCAGAAGATGGAATAGTGAATAGATGAATAGATGTAGGAGGAGGCCACTTATTCATTCCCGGCTGCCCGGCTAGCTTAGACCCAAAATAATCACACAGAAACTGTACGAATTAAAACACTGCTGGGCCCATTAGCTCTAGCTTCTTATTTACTAACTCTTATATTAATTTAACCCACTTCTATTAATCTGTATATTGCCATGTGGCTGTGGCTTATCTGGTAAAGTTCCCAGCGTCTATCTCTGATGGCTCCAAGACTTCTCTCTAACTCTGCCCCTCCTTCTCCCAGCATTCAGCTTAGTACTCCCCACCCAACTAAGTTCTGCCGTGCTATAGGTCCAAAGAAGTTTCTTTATTCATTAATGGTAATCACAGCATATAGAGAGGAATCCCATATCACCTCCCCTTTTCTGTTTAAATAAAAAGGAAGGTTTTAAGCTTAATATAGTAAAATTACATGGTAATCAAGGTAATTACAGGTATCAAAATATAATTACAGTTACAATATTTATATCTACTTTATCTTTTACCATAACTAAGGAATACTATAACTATAAATTCTTTAACTCTATCAAAGACTCCAGAAGGATATAACATTACCTAAGTAAACAGAAAGTACATCGTAAGCAACTTCCAAAACTCTAGAAATGACAGAGACATCTTGCTGCCTGGACAGTCACCCAAAGTTCTCTTGTACCATTGGGGCATCCATATTCAGCCTACAGGAGCATAGTATCCAGCAGACTTTTCCATGAGATAATGAAAATGTTGTATTTATTTAACTATAAAGATACAATTATGAAACTTGTAGGAAAATTGTATCTTAAGCAAAGTTATTCAAATCCAGAAAGCTTAAAACTTGACTGTTGTTCTTGTATGTAGATCATGTGAGTTGAGGGTAAAGGCTCAAAAACAAAAAAACAAAACAAACAAAACCCCAGAAAGCTAGAAAACGGTGATGAGGAAGGAAAAGGAAGTGCTGAGGAGAGAGAGGGAGAAAGGACGTGGTGTGGAAGTGAAAAGATGAGGGAAAGAAACAAACCTAAAAATGCTCTGTTTGAAAGGCTACCGTGAAGCCTAACTCTTTGTCTTCTGTCTTAACACATAAATACTGCAGTCAAGAATCGGGGAGATGAATGAACTTAGAACAGAGAGGCAAGATAAGAGTGTCGATCTTTGAAGGAATCCACAGGGCACTGAAGGAAAAATGACTGGCCATCACCTCTCTGGCCCGCAAAGTGTAGAAACATTAATAAAATTGATGTAAGGAGAAGGCTGTGGTTGTGACATGCTAACACTGAAATAAAATCACAACTCTGATGAGCTAGCAGCCACTGCGAAACTCCAGAGGTGCGGTCATGTCAGACAGGTGAAGTCAACATGTTTATAGTCCTGGGAGCTGAAGACGTCCAGGGAGATCCCTGAGCAGATAGAAGGGGAGAACAGAAGCCTCCTGGGCAGTCCTGAGGGGAAAAAGCAGACTCAAGAAGGCAGCGGAAGGCCCAGGATGTTGCGACAGACCTCTCCGCTCCGGAGAGCAAGAATGTAAAAGAAAAGGTCACTGTACCCGGAAGGTTATAGCGTGAGAGGCTCAAAGAACCTCTGTGTGGAAGGTTTGCCTCAGGACCTCAGAGAGGATTCTATCCTAGTGGTGGATGAGTCAGGCCAAGGGCTAAGGAATGAGCGTGGGCTCACCAACTCCAAGAGGACATTTAGCAGCAGGTGAGTACAATGGAAACGTGGTAACCAATTTAGAGAATGGAGAAACTCTTAGGATCAGAAGATTCCAAGAAAAAAAAAAAACATCAATTTCAGAGAAATTCAGGGTTTGGAATCAGAAAGAAACAGTTTGAAAAAGAGAAGAGGAATCTGCTGGTATCTAGAAAATGGCATTGGTGTGGGGGGGTAGGGTGTGTCTGTAAAAATAGAATGGATCCCCTGGGGCACAGTGGGTAAGGCGCTTGCTGCTAAGCCTGAAGACCTGCGTTTGATCCCAGGAAACCACATGGAGGGAGGAGAGAACAGACTCCAGTCAGCTGTCCTCTGACCTCTTCATACATGCTGCCCCCAACAAATAGTAGTAGATTTTCTGGGTGGGGATTCATGGGTACATGAGACTTGCAGAGATACCAACACATATTCCTTTCATGCATGTGTACACACACTCATACCTACACACACACAAAACCCGAAAATAGTTTATGCTTGTAAAATTTATGATGATTTTTATAAATGTAAAGTTGTACAAGTATTTTTTCTGAAGAGTGGGAATTAGTGGCATTTTGTTTTGTTTTTGTTACTCTATATATTTAAAGGTTCAATTGATTTTGTTTTTGTTTTCCTTCTTCTGCTTTTTGAGAGTGTTCTCAGAGTGCTTTCCAGGCTGGTCTTGATCGCTAAGGCTTGGACCACCCTTGCTCATCAGCCTCCAGGGTAGCTGGGCCTACAGATGCACACCATCAAAAGAAGACTGAGTGTTTTACAAATTTCATATCGTGATCTTACATTTCTTTTATAGTTAAATGCATTCACGAGCCTTAAAATATTATTTGTCAAGGACACATCTGTCCTTAAAGAATGAGATGAAAAAAAAGATGATAAAGTGTCTTTCATTTGTTACTTTATCCAAGAAGAAAACAACCAACCAAACAAACAAAAAATGCCAGGTGGTGTGGCGTAAGCCTTTAATCCTAGCACTCCGGAGGCAGAGGCAGGTGAATCTCTGTGAGTTCGAGGCCAGCCTGGTCTCCACAGTGAGCTCCAGGCCAGCCTGGTCTACACAGTGAGCTCCAGGACAGCCAGAGCTGTTACACAAGCCTGATCTTGAAAAACCAAACCAAGCACCAAAACCGAAAAACAACAACACATACATTTATTACTTTATGTCTTTGTACTTTGGGGTTTTTATTGAAGACTTACTTTATTTTGAAGTGATCTGTATCGTGTGGGAATGTGCACATGTGAGTGCCCCTGGAGGGCAGGAGAGGTTTCAGATCCCCTAGTTGTGAGCCAACATGGCTGCTGGCAAATCACCTTGAGTCCTCTGCATTGACACTCTGCTCTCTTAGCCACCGACCATTCTCTAGCTTTCTAGAATTTCTTAATGTGCATAAACTTCTTTCATGATCTTTCAACATGTAAAGCTTCCCGTGAAAACCACGTGAGTGCCTCCTGAAGAATGGGGTAAATGGGATCTAGTAGTAAATAAACACAATGAAGATCTGTTCATCTGTAAGAAAGGATGAAATCCTTTAGTTTGTGACAGCCTGAATGGACCGGGGGTGCTGTCTTAAGTGAAATAGGCCAAATACAAAGGCACAAGCACTCCATGATTTCACCAATATGGAATCCTAGAATAATCTTGTCTAGAACTCAACAGTAGACCAGTTGTTAGCGGAGGCTTGGGAGGGAGAACAAGTTCTCTTAAGAATAGTGTTTCATTGAAGGGAATCAGTTAAGAGCCCTTGGTGCCCTGCAAGCATAGGGCAGACAATTCTCCCCTGTGAACACTCGTGTGTAGGTGTCCATGTTCCCAAATGAGTGTGCTTGGTTGGTAAGTAATATTGACCTTTCCCCTTTGCGTATGCATTTGTATGACTCCTGGCAGGATGTGCCTATGTGAATCGAGATGCTAGCCCAAATGAAAACAGTTTTTGTGGGAACTTGTTTTCCAGCAAGACATACTGTGGCTGGTTCTTTCCTAGCCTTGGCCCAACTGGTAAAGTGCTAAGCATTATGGGCAATGACTGAGCATGTACAATCTAAAATGGGTGTGGTCTCAGAACTCAAGTGACGATGCTGAGGCTTTGGGAGGAAACAACTGAGTCCAGCAGCCGTGAGCAAATACCCTTAGCATTGGAATGTTTGCGGTTCATCTTTAACTTCTGGTGGCAAAGGCTCTTTCGTTTTCTCTCTCTTCTGGCTCTCTGTAGCAGGACTGGGATCCTTTGAACTCAGTAAGTTGTACGTTGGTGGAAGAGTCTCAGGATGTCAGGGCACTTCCTGACACTAAGAGCAGGTGGGTGCTCAAACACATAAAAGTGAAGTACTGTGTTTGCACTGCAAGCTAATAAAGATCATTCCAGACACATGGGTGACATGAATCTCTGCAGAGTGAGTCATCCCCTCATGGTCTCTGCTGAGTTTCCTTAGATGTACTCACAGCACCTGCATGCAGTTCATTCTGCGCATATTTCCTGCACATGGGGAGGGGTGATGAAAAGCAAGCACACCATTCATCTAGGAGACAAATGGACCCAGAGGAGAGGTGCAGGAGTCCTTGGAAGAGGCAGCCTTGTGCAATCTGTCTCTTCAAGGTGCCTTTACCAACACAAGCAGACTGCCTCTTGGGAGCCACCTCCCCGGGTATTCCCAGGATCCACAGGACATCGCTTCCACGGAACCAAGGGTGCTTCACGGCTTGTTCGCCTATAGCAGGCCTCATAGATGCTCAGTAGGTATATACTGGATAAATAAATGATCTAGTGAGTTAATGGACTTGAAAATATCCAAGCAGGACAAAGGGAAGCTGAATGCCACTTCATCTGTGCTCACTAAGAATCTCCCTGGTGAGCGAGAAGCAGGAGAACACAGATACATAATCTCTGGGGAGAAAGCCTGTACCACAGAGACTTCTGTTCAGGTCCCTGTGAGCATTCTGTGAGGAAGAGCATTCTCCCACGAAGGAGCTTCCCCATAGAGAGGAAGTGAAACTTCCAAAGGAGAGGAAGTCAATTTTGATCTGCTGGGCCTGATGCCAGATATTCTAGCCCATTAACCATGACATGCAACAGGAGAGGCATCCTAAGGTTCATTCCGGACGACATTGCCCTCCTTCTGTGGGTCAGCGGGTGTGACTAACGTAAGTCCAGCTCTCTATAACTCTAGGGCCACTTGAGTTAGTCTACCTGGGGGCGGGCTCTAGGTAAAGGAAGCCACTAAGGTGCTTCTGACCTCTGGGGGCTTGCTGCACTGGAAACACACTAGCATCTTTATTTCACCAAAGAGTAAGTGCAAGAGGCAGAGTTGCCGCTGCATACTGAGAAGGAAGAGTGTCTATTGGGGATGGAAAGGAGGGCTCATACTATATCTGTGGATGCAGAGGAGCAACCTTTAGTTCTCGCCTTCCACACGGTGGGTCTCGCCTGGGAGTCCAATTCGGGTCATCAGGTATAGAAGCCAGTACCTCTTCTATCTGTTGACTCATTTCCCCTGGTTTTTATTTGATTTTTTTTTTAAAAAGGCTTGCTGTGCTGTGGGAACTATGAACTGACGGGGACTTGGGGGCTCCTTATCACATTTTCTTCTTATTTTGGCATTCATCACCACAAAATAAACCTAAATAAGTAAAGTAGCCAGAAGTGGCTCTTGCTATTTACTATGTGGGGAGAGTTTTAAAAGAATGGAATTCTGAAAAGCCACAGGGCCTCTCTTGGCTAAAATGTTTATGCCTTAAGATGGTGCATACCTGTGTCCAGTACTTTGGAACCCAAGGCAGGAGGATCACAAGCTTGAGGCGAGCCTGGGCTGCAGAGGAGAGCATATTTAAAAGACAAAAACATTTATATCTAATTCATAAAAGAAAAAAAAAAGCAAATCCAAAACCAACTAGAGGCCTTTAAGTAGGGATTTCAAAGCATAGGCATTTGGGAAACTGAGAAAAATGATGTTTTGAATTCATTGCTGTACTCAGGTAGCTCATAGGGAGGAGATGGACATGCAAAGGCAATTAAAAAAATGGCAAGAGGCATCTGGGAATTGCATACGTGTTTAGCTTGGTGCTAGCTCCCAGTGTTACCCATCTGTATGAATTAACCTGTGTGTGTGGCTCCTCCCCGTGAGCTGCCGGAGGGTAGCAACGTGCTCAAAAGGCCGTGCACAGTGAGAGCTGTGCGGGTTTCCTTTCTGTTGCTGTGATAAGGCACTCTGACCAAAAGCAAGCTAGCAGAGGAAAGGGCTTGTGTGAGCGCACAGGTCACAGCCCATCATTGCCGGAAGTCAAGGAGGAACCTGACGCAGAAGCCATGGAGGAATGGCGCTAGCTGCTTCACTTGCAAGCTGGCTAGTAGTCAGCGTTCTAAGGCAGCTTCTGCCCACCAGCCAGGGAATGGTGCTGCCCACAATGGACCAATCAGATCTGGGTACTCCCCTGACTGGGTCTCCTCCTTAGGTGACTCTAGGCTGTGTCAAGTTGACAGTTAAAAGACAGTGCTCAGGAAACATTTGTGAATGAATCAATGTCTTCGTTGTTGATTTAATTTCTGATAAATTCAAATGATTAGGATTCGAGTTTTTGTTGCAAACTATGTAACCTATTGTTAATGTAATACATGTGTGTAATATATACACATACATATATATATACACATATTGCACGTACACAAGAGTAGGTTAAATACATATCATAATTTGATTGATTGATACTCTACCTGTCTGCCTTTCCTCAATGTTAACCATGCTGTTATGTAAAACAGTCTCCCTTCCAGCGTGTTCCTTAGGCACAGAGCTTTTCAGCCATCCAAATGGTCCTTCACTCACAAGGAGAGCCTTACAAACTGTAGACATCATTACCTGCTAAGTGTTGTCTCTACTCTTGCAGTCATGGCAACCCAGCCGGGCACATGTAAATCTCCTAACTCCTCAGAAGCTTGTGACATGGGGGCCATTAATTCTTCCGCAGATGAGCAAGGAGCACAAGTTTATGGATGAAACCCCCATGGCTCATCTGGCTCCAGAGTCTTGGAAATGTTCCAATTGTGGTTTGTAACAATGTTAAAATAATTAGTTTTGTCTTATATTTTATTACAATTTAAAATTCAAAATGTCAAGTATTATTAATGACATGACTATGGGAAATAGTCTTTCTTGCTTTCTTTCTTTTGCTTTCTTTTTCAGTTCTCTTTGTGGTTAGATTATGTCCTGCTAAAGATTTAAACTAGGTGACTATATTTTTTGTTGTTGCTTGTTTTTGTTGTGTGAGACATGGTCTCATGACCTTGTCTGTCCTGGAACTTTATGTGTAGATGAGGCTGGCCTCAAATTCACAGAGATCTTCCGGCCTCTGCCTCCCAAGTGGTGGGACCGAGAGTGTATGGCTGCATGTCTAGCAAGGGGACTGGATTTTCATAAGACACTTAACATAATCCCCCTCAGTGTCACAGGCTGCAATCACAGGTTGACTTGTTTCATTTTTGAATTTTTACTTCTTCAAAAGAACACTTTTGCTTTGTAGTTATGAAAATATGAATATGGTTCAGTGTTAAATTCACAGAACATGTTATAGTCAGAAAAGACCAGTTTCTGTTCCATTTCTCTCTTCTTCAAGTCTATGCAATTGTTAAATATGTTTTAATTTATCCTCTCACTATCCTTTTAGTTGGGAGCAAGCATTTATATCCTCACAGGCCACAAGCTTGTGTGCATATGTGTGCATGCATGTGTGCAACAGCAGAGGTCAGAAGACAGAATCAGACTCCCTAGAGAGCTGGAGTTCTAGGCTGTTGTGAGTCATCCAACATGGGAGCTGAGAGCGGAACTTGGGGCCTGTGAAGGAACAGCCAGCACTCCTAGCCACTGAGCCATCTCATCAACTCCGACCCTCCGTCTTCTAAAGACAACCGCATAACACACACATTCCTTTTCTACTTTACTTTCTTCACTTCATGTGCCCTGTAGCATAAAGAAACAATTTTAATTGCTTTACTCTTCCATTTGTTAGCTAGTCCTCTAGGGGTGCACGGATGAGTTAATTCCAGTGTTTTAAAAAAGCCAAACTTTCTGACTGTGAAAGAAAGATTAATGTGTAGTGAATCTGGGCCATTCAACAAAAGGAAGACTGAAAAGTATGTGTTCAGCTTTGGCAATATGAAGACCTGGGACATTTTAGCCAAGGACAAACTGTACCCACAGCATCTGCCCAGCAGGCTGCAGCGCCTGGGTCAGTAAGAGAGGTGCAGTGGCGTGGCACAGACAGATGCTTGGTGAAGGAAACGGGATGCTGTCCTTAGTTTCCTCGCCGTGACAAAAAAGCCACTGGAGGAAGGAAAGGTCTGACTGGACTCACAGTGTAAGAGGGATGCAGTTCATCATGGTGGGGGATGGGCATGTGGTGTGTGTGGCTGTACATTTGCATGTGTGGTATGGAAGTGTCCTCAGAGACTGAAACATTCCATCCTGCAGGAAGCTTCTTAAGTAGGAAGGCAAACAACTCAAAACAGCTTCAAGAAGTCCCAGAAACTGACCAGATTCACTAGCTCCCTTCCTGCCAGAGTAAGCAATAAAAGCTTACTGTTACTCTCAGACAGAGATGCCAAGAAGACTCTGAGACTAGACCAGCTGCCTGGAAGAAGCAGAAAGCAGGCCAGCTACCTGAAAGAGGTTTAGACCAACTGAGGAGCTGGGGAGGATGCTCCCCAAGCGGCTGAGTGCCTGCAGGCTGTGCAGTGTGCTCCAGGTTCCCAGCTTTGTGAGTCATCATTCATCTGGGACGGGCTTTTGTCATATAGCTGTCATTGAACTATTTCCTCATATAAGTAACGCTATCAAAACTCACTGGCTCACCAAATCAGACTTTAGTGGTATCTGTACTTTGGTTTGTAGTGGAATCCCTGACTGGGATGAATAGATGTGTGTGTTATGTCTCCCCAGGAAAAGCTTTATCATACAACAGTGTGCGGGGGGGGGGGGGGACAGAACAGGAAGTAAATGGGAGTCTCAAGGTACACAGTATATTTTACTATAATGTTTTCTGTCTGTAGTTTTATTATGGAAGATATTGGATCCATGTTCATTGTTTATTCTCTAATTTTTAGATGTGGGAAGAATGGCTGGGAATGTGAGATGATCATTTCTCAAAAGTTACCTTTCCCGGGGCAATGAGATGGCTCAGTGGATAAAAGTGTTTACTGCAGCATCTAATGACCTGAGTTTGACCTTGGGAAGAACCTACGTGATCAGAGAGAACAGACTCCAGCGCCTCCATCTCTGACCTTCACATACTTGCCACAGCACGGGAGCACCTTAAATAATAATAATAAAAATGTTTTTTCCTGAAGTTCACAGGGTACCATGAGAAGACTTCCCCTCGCCTAACTCCAGCCCTGCTGAAGTTCTCACTAATTCCCCCACGGTGTCCGGCTGCTGGGATCCTGCTGTTTGAATCCACCGGTCTCATCAGCCCCCACCAAAAGCGTTTGCTGCACTGGCCTACCTGAGTGCAATGGCGAACACTGATTGTGGACGCGGGAGATAATTTCCAGTGTTCATCGGCCAAGGGTTTCTGGATTGGGTTAGCTGAAGAGAGAGCACCTTGAGTGTGGGTGGCACCATCCCACGGCAGGGTGCCAGTGACTGAGGGAGCAGGAGCGTGGGAGCTGAGCACCACCATCATGTCTCTGGGCTTACCCACGGCAGATGTCACGTGACCAGCTGTCTCACACTCTGGCTGCCAGGCCTTCCTCACCTTCATGGACTGCACCATCAAATGGTGAACAGCACCAACCTTCCCTCCCTTATGTAGGTCTGTCAGTATTTGACCGTCCTGATGACAGAAGGAACTGGGAAGTGCGGCCGCTGCTCTCTGGAGGAGCCTGCCCATCTATGGTCTCTCTTGCGGCTTTACATAAAACAGTCAAATTTAACAGCCATGGCTTTTGGGGGGCAATCCAATGTTTCGGTAGTTCTTATTTTTCTGTTAAGGATCCCGGAGCAGTAGCTCCAGCCCTTCCTTCCATGCTGTGATAACGTCCCATCACACTTAGAATAAGTCTGAAGTCCTGGTGAGGGCCCAGACAGGCTCCGGAGCTTGTTCAGGACCTGCTTTGTCCGCACCTCAGCTCAGAGGCCTCAGAGAAGCCTTTCCCACCACCTGCTAAAACAGACCCATCTAGCCTCTGACATCCCTATTACTCAAGGTGACTTTTCTCGACACTTAAATGACCACGTTTTACGCTATGTCCTTTGCTCGTGTGTCCCCAGTGATGACACATCTGGTAGTCCAAACAGAAGCTTCTGTATATCACAGACAGTCCACGGCCACGAGCTGGGCTCAGCGTGCAGCAGGGAATCCAGCAAATGCCCACTAGAGAAACCTTTTTCTCTCTCTTATATAATAACATCCCTATCTATTCTTTCTTTAATTTAATATCGATGGCTATTGTGGTGATACAACTATAATAAATTTAAAATTCAAGTTTCTAAAATTCAAACTTTAGAGAGTTCATCCCTCGGTTCACTTGGGGGAAAAACACAACTAAACTAACCTGCTAAGTTTGTCTCAGATGGAAAAGTGCAGTGGTAGCCTATGCTAGCCAGGGCTAGCCTGTGCTAGTCTTCATCTAGGGAGATGAGGCACTCAGTGGGAAATCCTGGAGGAAGCCAAGAGAAGGAAAGTGTCCTGTGAGGGAGGTCCTGCTTGTCCAACCACACAGGATGTGATCTGTCCATCTGCCTCTACAGTATGGCCAGGGAGCTAGCTGCCTGATGGTGATGGAGCTCTGCTGACTAGGCCTGGAGGTGCACGGAGGGCAAACCAGGGAGTATGCCAGAGAGCGGCCAGACTGGCCACAGGACTAAGACCACATCTTCCAGGACACCACGTAGGTGATGGTCTCACTTAGACTTCTACCTTTGCTTTCTGATTTGACTTTATACTTAGGAAAGCAAATGAATGTATGTATACTTGCTTTTTGAAAATACATTTTATTACAAAAACCTTGCAGATAATAGTACCGCGCACCAAAATTACCAATTAGAACCGGCATTTGGAATGGAAGCTGTGAAGCCTCACGTTAAACTTTACATTTTCAACCCGGAATAACTTCAGAATCCAGGAAAGTAAAAATGGGCCACTGTGGGGGCTTGGGGGGGCAGTAGGGGAAACATTGCCAGGGCTGGGGGCGACACGGGGAGCAGGGCACACATAATCTGAAGTGGAAAGCGGGGACACCAAAGTGGAGCTCTAACTAGAGTCGGGTGGAGGGGGTACAATGACAGTAAGGATGCCCAAAAATGTCATTAGGAACCAAACTATTAACTGTCTACCTAAAAATACTGATACTACTTGTAAATCAGTGTATAGACACACATGTACAGTTTAAATGAAATTTTCCCATCTGTGCTGAAACTGTTCTCTCCAAGAGCCATTAGACCATCAATCAAATACCCCAACATCAGGCGCTGGAAGTCCCCTTTTGAATTTTTGGTCAGAATTGTCCAACAGACTCCCCAAACATGATAGGCTATTGCTATTGTCCTTGGTTACCCCCAGAGATGGAAAGTACGTCCCCCATGCTGAAGATGCCATGTCCTTACGATATAGGGCCCAGAGGCCCTGAGCAGGAACTCCCTGAGTGCCTCAGCCCTGCAGAGTGACTTTCCTGGTACCAGAAAGCAAAATCCCCCCAAAACAGCAACAGCAAGACAATCCGTTTTTCTTATTAGCAAGATGAAACAACAGCGCTTTACAGCTTTTCAGTTGACTTTGTGACAGGGTCTCACTATGTAGCTCTGGTTGGTCTTGAACTTGATATATAGACAAATGCTCGCCTAGAACTCACAGAGCTCTGCCTGCCCCTGCCTCCTGAGTGCTAGGATGAAGGCATACACCACTATGCCCAGGGCATAGCACAGAAATTATTTTGAAGCGTGTGGTATGCTTCAGTCAGATCATCCTTCACTTAGAGCTGTCTTAGTGACGGCCACAATATAAAACCAAGGCCGTTGCTGAACATGTCTGAATCTTACTAGACTAATATTTCAGGATATTTAAAAATAAAACCCTTTAAATGATTTGAACAGAAATGCCAACAGCTTTATGGCTCTTCCAACCTACTAGGAAAGAACTCTGCACACTTTCTCAGGGAAGAACAGGAGCCGATATAAATGGATGCACCCAGAACCACTATGTAAGGAAGAAGCGGAGTTATTATGGTGAACGATTCAAAGTTTACCTGCTTAATCATTAATAAATTTGATTCATGAGTCAAAAATAACTGATGAAGGCAAGGAAGGGGAAAGGCCTCTTGCAGCAGGAAGTCCTGGTTGCTTGCCGACTCTGGCGAGCTGGTAAATGTTTAACAGCTGACTTTCCGAAGAGAGAGGGAAGGCCTTGGCTCTTGGTGTTCACCCAGTTTTGTTGCCGTTGTTGCGGACACTCCACCAAAAGCAACTTTCACACTCATGTGTTAAATACATTTGCAAAAAAACTCGAAAACCGGGCCTGTGGATACGTACTGGTGGGTAAGGGTGCTTGTTGAACAAGAGTGTGCGAGTTTGAAGTCCAATCTATTTAAAGTAGGACATGGCTGGACATGCAAGTAAGCACAGCACTCGGGTGGGGGTGGGTTGCAGAGCCAGGTGGATCCCGAGAGCTCGCTGGCCAGCCTACCTAGCTGAAATGCTGAGCTCCAGGCTCAGTGAGAGACCTGTCTCAAAGCACAAGGCCAAGAGCGACAAAGCCATCAGCAGCGAGTTTCCAGGAAGCGCGCATGAGCATTACATGCACCATCACACGCACCATCCCTTCCCTACACGTCCTTTAGGGCCCATGAGCCTGTGCTGGCCATCTGGGCTTGCTGCCTTCACCCTTCACCTTTTCCTCACAGGGACAGATTAAAAAGGACATTCTCCAGCCTTGTGTGCAGATAGGGGACCTGTCAACAGTGAGTGCTAGCAGAGCTTGTAGGAGTGGTGACAGGTCACCAAGGGTTAGCAGTGTCTTGCTTAAAGCGGTTGTAGGCTCAGATCACCTCATTTTCAGAGCCATTTTGTAACTAGCCATGAAGGAAACGCCACAAAAATGGCAGAGGACTGTACCGCCCCTGAATTCCTCCCTGGGTCTTCTTTAAGCCATGACTTATTTAGTTTTTGTGTTAAAAGCAAACAAAGTCATTCTTCTGGTGGGTCAATGGATACAAACAAACCAAAAGGAGCTGCTACTGAAAGCAACACTATTGGAAATTTAAGAAAAAAAATCATACTGTTACTTTCAAAAATTCATTGTTCCTTTGATGTGAGTTTGCCTAAAACTCTTGGCTTGGAGATAGAAACTGTTCTTAGCCCAGCACTGTGAATATTTGGGGAAAAGAACATGGCCTACCTATATCTGCTACAGGTAGAGGCCACATTGAGTACCAGAGAGACATCAACATGCTTGTTTGACCAGCAGCGAGTCACTTAGCAGTTGGCACCTTAGCTCCTCATCTGCAAAACAGAAATAATGTCATCCATACTAAAAAAAGATTTCTTTTTATGTTAAGTAAGTATATGTAGGTGGGAGAGTACTTGCATGTAGCTGCCTGTGGAGGCCAGAAGAGGACATCTCAGATCCGCTAGAGCTGGAGTTACAGGAAGCTCTAAGCTACTCAGGTGGGTGCTGGGAGCCACACTCACGTCCTCTGCAAGGGTACTATGTACTCTTAACTGCCGATCAACTCTCCTGCTCCCTACTATGTTGTTTTGAGGGACTAAGCAGTTAATAACTGTGTAAAGGGCCCGGAACAATGGAAGGCAACCAGCAAGCTCCAAGTCAGTAGCTGTCTTCATCACCCTTGTCACAAACCCTAGTCAAATAGATTCTGGGGTCATCTAAAGATGCTAAAGTGGCTTGCCTTCATGGGGGATGCTTTGAGACTGAGACCAAGCCTTTCAGGGTTCAGTCCTGTGCCCCCATGCTTAGAAAGCTCTATCCACTGTGAGTCTCAAGTGCTCCTTTCTCAAACTGCTCTCCAGCTTTGGGAATGCCCCTCGAATCTGGAAATTCATGACCCCACGGGACACTGCCAATTCACTGATCCTACCGTCTCCACATCTCCTGATCTCTTTAGCTCCTGTGGTCGCTCCCTGGTCTGTGCCTTCTAGTGCCTACCTTCTTCTCCACATCTCCTGATCTCTCCAGCTCCTGTGGTCGCTCCCTGGCCTGTGCCTTCTAGTGCCTGGCTCTTTTATTCTCTCCATCACACAGCCAAGCCCCAGCTGTAGTGAAGCCCAGTGCAGCCTCCTTTGGTCAAGTGAACCTGGCTGACTGGGTTTGCTTCAAAGTTTTGATTGCTAACCTCAAATGGGTACTTAGCAGTGTGGCCTGGCATTCCCACCACACTGCCGTATGGCCTATGCCTCCTGACTCTCATTTAGAAAACTTTTCTCTTCTACCCTCTAGCCTCCTGGCTGCACTCTCACATTCTCAGGACAGAGTCCTGGGGTAGTTCACAGAGAGTAGAAAGCAGCAAGAGACCTCTCTGGGGCTCACATCCCTGCAGCCACCAGCTTGGGTGCATCCGAGCCTCTCTTTCTGCCTCCCTCCTGGCCTTGTTTCTCCCTGCACCCCTGCTCTGCCTCCCTCCTGGCCTTGTTTCTCCCTGCACCCCTGCTCTGCCTCTCTCCTGGCCTTGTTTCTCCCTGCACTCCTGTTCTGGCTTCTGAACTTCCAAGAGTCTATGAAGTAGACTTGCTCTTTCCTCTGCCTGGGAAGGTTGGAAACTGTTTTAGTCAAGGTTTTCCAGAAGAAAGGACTAAGGTGAATATATATTATGAAAGGAATTTATTAGATTGGCATACATGAAGGATTTGGGTAATCCAACCATGGTTATCAGCACAACAGAGTCCAGGAACTAGCTGCGCATTCACGGCTGAATCCTCAGTCGTCTCCGTGTGCTGCTGAAGACCTGGAAAGTGAGGTTTTCAGTCCACATTGGTAGGTTCTGATGGCTTCGAGTACTGGAAGCTAGCACAGCAAACAAACAAACCAAACTGTGAGCCCACGTCACCGTCTCTGGTTAGCTAAGACATTTATTGTAGAACAGAAGACTGGCAGATGCAGACCATGGTAACAGAAAGAGAACCAGCGAGTGTGGAGCTGAGGGGAAGCAGGAGAGCCAGGCACTGAGAGGGGGTCTCATGAGACATACACACTGTGAGTGAGTGCGGTGGAGACAGCTTCATGGGCATTGGTGGGGAGGGCCTTCTAGGGAAGCAATGGCAATCCCTTAAAGCTTAGGTGGAGTTGTGTCCATCTGGAGATGGAGGTGGCCAGGATGACTGGAGGGGGAGAGCAAGAGGTAAAAACTAGTTCGGAGTAGAAAGGATGGTGTGGAGGGCAGACCACATGGCCTCTGCTCACGCTATGAACTTTATCCTGACTGAAATGGGAATTCAAGTTTTGTTCAAAAAATAAATGAAAAGACTTTAATATGAGGTT